GCAGCATGATATTCAGACAATACAACAAACATACAAACACTCTGAGTCACAAACTAATGAAAGAGAAGTACAGTTATTGTTGAATGGAGGCGGGGAATATCTGATGACTTCGGCTGGGTGATATTTATGGTAATGAAACTCAAGGGCTTGCAATGCTAAAGAAGAAGAAAAAGAAGAAGAAGAAGAAGAAGAAGAAGAAGAAGAAGAAGAAGAAGAAGAAGAAGAAGAAGAAGAAGAAGAAGAAGAAGAAGAAGAAGAAGAAGAAGAAGAAGAAGAAGAAGAAGCAGAAGAAGAAGCAGAAGAAGAAGCAGAAGAAGAAGCAGAAGAAGAAGAAGCAGAAGAAGAAGCAGAAGAAGCAGAAGAAGAAGAAGAAGAAGAAGAAGAAGAAGAAGAAGAAGAAGAAGAAGAAGAAGAAGAAGAAGAAGAAGAAGAAGAAGAAAGAAGAAGAAGAAGAAGAAGAAGAAGAAGAAGAAGAAGAAGAAGAAGAAGAAGAAGAAGAAGAAGAAGAAGAAGAAGAAGAAGAAGAAGAAGAAGAAGAAGAAGAAGAAGAAGAAGAAGAAGAAGAAGAAGAAGAAGAAGAAGAAGAAGAAGAAGAAGAAGAAGAAGAAGAAGAAGAAGAAGAAGAAGAAGAAGAAGAAGAAGAAGAAGAAGAAGAAGAAGAAGAAGAAAGAAGAAGAAGAAGAAGAAGAAGAAGAAGAAGAAGAAGAAGAAGAAGAAGAAGAAGAAGAAGAAGCAGAAGAAGAAGAAGAAGAAGAAGAAGCAGCAGCAGCAGCAGCAGCAGAAGAAAGAACGGTCACTGCAGTTTTCGCCTGAGAAATGGACACATACACCTCGGGATTGTAACCGACTCAGAAAGCATGCTGAGGTAGGTGAGGACAGGCATGTTGCTTGCAGAGTGGCACATGCTTCATTTCGGAAGTCAGGGATGAAGAATATTGTCTGTATCTTTTCTCCGGGGAAGTCGGTGTGTTGGAAAATGAACTGTAGGAGAGTGGCTGGTTCTGCACAACTTGGTGAAATACTGATGCATGATCAGGCAAACGTGATTAAGGCTTTGTGAGAACACGTATATAATTTGGAGCAGAAAACTAATCATCAGTCTGGTGAGAGTGATGTAGCAGTGAGGCAAGATAGTCATATAATCAGACTGCTACTGGCACACTGCGTTGGCTGCTGAAGATGGGGACAGAGCGCTTTTGGAAATACCCCAAAGTGCTGTGACGTTGATTTTTTAATTATCTCAACTCAGACCGATGACCCCCCCCCCCCCCCCCGGGCCACCTCCCCACACACAAACACACACACACACACACACACACACACACACACACACAGGGCAACATAAATAGATATATTAAAATATATGCTTACAAAAAGTCACACATGAATTAAAACACACACACGCGCTAAAGCATATACGTACATACATAATAAAGACAGACAGACAGACAATGTGTAGATTTATGTGCTGCTGTGTGCCTGTGTGTATGTGTATTTGCATGTGTATTTTATCTTTCAAATTTCCCAATTCTCACCGAGAATAATTGGACCCAACGCTAGGACTTGGGTTTCCATTTGTCAATTTTATTGCCGTAAATTAAAATAATCATAGCTTTTCTTGTGAGAATCAGTTAACTTTGATCGTCTGATTGACCGGAAGTTGTTTCACCTCGTTTGAAAATGGTAGCTAAATATTCGCGAACTTTGCCGATGTAAGGGGCCCAGTCCTAGAGGGATTTGTACTAGTTCTTAGAGGAAGTACTTGGCTTTCAGACATCACAAACAGAATCATTGAATGACTAGCATGACCAAATAGACTTGAACTACGTCATGTGGGAATCGCGGACCACTAAGCTAATGACTTCTCTCTGGTGGAACCACACAGGCAATTTTTTTTTTTTTTTTAGATTCATGAATTGTCAACTTTAGAATTATCTAAGTTGAAGCCACATCCTGGTACTCGCCTAATAATAGACCTGATTGTTCCCAGGGAATATCTAAAAGGGTACTGGCTGTATTATGGTATTCAAATAAAAGATAATACAGGGAAGTATGTTGACATCGTTCTATGAAAGGATTAGAGACCGGACAATGACAGACTATATGTGAAAAGTAATATAAATGTCAATAAGCTGAAAAAAAAAAAAGAAAAAACGCAACTTCAATATAATTTTCAAAATAAAAAACGTACGCACACACACAAACGCACGTCTGCCAACCCACACACGCACACACAACATGAGAAAAGTACAGTCGAATTACGATGTACCAGGTTTTAACAAAAGGCAGGGTGACATTTGGGTTGGCACAGACAGTGGCAAAATAGAGGGACTATTGCTACTATCAACGGCGGAATCAAATCTTGAAGTTTAATGAGTGCTGTATTAATGGGCAAGAGAATCTTTGTTTTAACTAATGAATCATTTATTATAATGTGATTTTAGTAGGAACTTTCATATTTTAACACTACGGGGAGCACCGGTACACAGAAAAGATCATCACAGTCTGGTGAGAGTGATACAGCACTGGGGAGAGTGATGCAGCACAGGTGGGAGTGATGCAGAACTGGTGATAGTGATGCAGCACTGGTGAGAGTGATGCAGCACTGGTGATAGTGATGCAGCACTGGGAATAGTGATGCAGCACTGGTGAGAGTAATGCAGCACTGGTGATAGTGATGCAGCACTGGTGAGAGTGATGCAGCACTGGTGATAGTGATGCAGCACTGGTGAGAGTGATGCAGCACTGGTGAGAGTGATGCAGCACTGGTGAGAGTGATGCAGCACTGGTGAGAGTGATGCAGCACTGGTGATAGTGATGCAGCACTGGTGAGAGTGATGCAGCACTGGTGAGAGTGATGCAGCACAGGTGAGAGTGATGCAGCACAGGTGAGAGTGATGAAGCACAGGTAAGAGTGATGCAGCACTGGTGAGAGTGATGCAGCACTTGTGAGAATGATGCAGCGATGAGTGAATAGAGGATCTGGCCGATATTCAACGATCAGCAGAAAGGTAACATTTTAATACTACATACACAACGTTTATACTGTTTTTCTTCAACTTAACAAAGTTAACACAAGGTGAATCTCATCTTCATCACTAGCAAGCCTTTTATCCTTTTGCTGGTGGAACCATTAAAAATGTTTTTTTTAGCCTCCAGCATATTTATTTGAAGTCATCTTGTTATATCAGAGACATCGAATCCCAGACCAGTAAGGAACTCCTAGCGGTTTTTGTTTTAAAATTTACTGGTAGGCCCTGTATGTGTTGTGGAAACCAACTGTGGGGAAAACAAGAATAGACCCACTGCCTCCCCAGCAAACATGTCGTTGGAGCCGACTAACTGGGGACTTCTGTTGAAGACGGAGTGCATCAGCCCGAGTGGCAAGAAACAACCAGCTGCATACAAATAAGCAAGTAAAAGAGATGTACACGCAAAACTCAGGGGCTGGCACAAAAGTCCAGATGGACGAATAATCAGTACCTTCCGCCGGAGCTTATAGCCAGTAAACAAAAAAGAAGAAGAAGATGTGCTTTATTTATATCCTACCCCAGATGACATTACAGGACAGTACGACATTTTGGAGGGTGGTTTCCCGGCTTTCTGATGCTTTTAACGACCCTCAGAACATCTAGAGATAGCCCTAACCGCAACCTACCTACGTCCGACGAGAGAGTGCAGCCTAGGTCCCACGACTGCGTGCAGCCTATCTACCACCCCCTGAAATATTAGACTGTTCCGTGACCTGTGGATTTCCTCTGTTTGGGGTAATATATAAATAAAGCACCGAAGAAGATGTGTTAGTAGGTTTTGTCCATGTATGATACATTGACGGTTCTGACCCTTTGGGCTTGGCAGAAAGAAAGAGGGTGATAATGTATTGATGTACATACATATTCTGGCTCTCACAACTCAAAGGTAATGACAGTAGGTAATATGTTTTAATATGACATGCAATTATAAAGTATCGTGGGCTTGGACATTTGTGTCAGTTTAGTCTGTAATAAAACCGAACATGGCTGGTGTAACCGTATAGGTGCTCCTGTTACAACTTCTTTTGCGTGCGTGCCGCTTATCAACTTCGGGTTGGTAACTAAAAAAAATATGCCTCACCCTAAGATCAGAAGATCTCAGGATGGCAGAATGAAATGACCTGGAAATTTAACTTTGTAAGACTACAAACAGCAACAGAGATATGGTTTCTGAGACGAATGTTACGAATACCTTGGACTGCCAGAGTAACTAACAACGATTGCTTGAAAGAAGCTAATGAAAGTAGATTTCTGTATGCAACAGTAAGAAAGATACATACACTGTTCTTTGGCCACATAATGAGAACAGAGTTATTGGAGAACATCGTGACAACTGGAAAGATCAGTGGAAAAGGTGTAGAAGCAGACCAAGAGAGTTAATGCTGGATGGGCTGAAACGTTGGCATGGAGGGATATCATCAAGAGGGCTGTTCCAGGCAACCAGCGATCGTGATTTGTGGAGACACATGAGCGCCTATACTAGTTGGCAGGGCAGACGATGATGATGATGATGATGATGAAGACTACAAACAGTCTTAACGCTGCTGGCAGACCATCAGCTGAAGCTCAAACATCCTGCACTTCAAGGCAGTTCTTATTGAGCACCCCTAACGATCACACCGGAGTTTTAATCTGCAGTCCTTTGCGCGTAAGGATGTGACTTCTTTTGCTTCTCAATGGCATATATAGGACTTGTGTCAGTTAGACACACCCTGTTAAACACGTGTTCATATTTCTGAAGTATATTTCATTGTCCTTTTGTATTTCAGATGCTCTTCTTTGTTGTGTACATTTTGTTGCATGAGTTTTATTATTTACCTTAGGTTTTCAAGTTGTTGTTGATGTGATATACTTTCTTATCTCCCCCTGGTTTTTAATTGTTGCTGTCATAAATGTTGTTACTTCCCTCAGTCTTGGTTGCGCTGGTTGCAGGCAGTGTTAACAAACAAAGTGTGTAAGGAGTAGCTTTTAAGCTTTCACAACAGCTTTGCCGAAATTTGACCCAGAAAATAATTCTATGAAAGCTTTAGGCATATTTTCAAATCCTTTAGTCACGTGCTCCTTGGCTTTTAGTTTACCCTGTAATAAAAAAAAAAAAAAATAAAGTAAGGATTAGGCGAGACAAGAATTACAAGACTTACCTACATATTTATATGAGTAGAAGATAGGGATTAGTATTCTTCTTTTTTTTTTCTCTCTCTGTAGTCCATACCGTGTGGCGATGCTATTCATGTCTATCCACAACCTTCTGTCTCGTGTACTTTCAAGCAGCTCTGACACAGATGATCTTTCATGACATAATATCAAACTGTCAAACATCTTCTCTCTCGGTCTTCCTCTGTCGCTCTGCCCCTCCAAATTTCCTACTGTAACAATGTACTCCAGTTTTCTCCTTCTCGTGACATGATCAAAGAATGTAGATTGTCCCCTCCTGATGTGGGCAATAAGCTCTTTTCGTGAGTCGGTTCCTCTCATTACTCTCATTACTTTTTTTTTTTTTTTGGGTCGGTCCAGGATATTTTTATCATGCATCTATAAAACCAAATCTCAACTTCCAAATAATTTTTTACTAATCGACCATGATTGATTTCCGTATAGCAAGATATATTTATATAGCTTTTAAGCATGCTATTTCTCGCCTGAATTGTAAATCAAAGATGGCATATAATAATTGTATGCTGCCTTTGCTTGAGCTATACTACATTCAGCCTATTAAATACATCTTCCATCTGATTTTAGCTGGGTACCCAAGCACTTAAACGTATCAACTTGCTTGAAGATTGTTCCAAAGCTGTGTTGCCTTTTTTTTCTAAGGCAAAGAGCTATTTTTTAATTCAACATTTGTATACTTCAATGTATCAAAATTGTTATTTCTCTTTCTTTCTTTCTTTCTTTCTTACTTTCTTTCTTTCTTTCTTCTTTCTTTCTTTCTTTCTTTCTTTCTTTCTTTCTTTCTTTCTTTCTTTCTTTCTTTCTTTCTTTCTTTCTTTCTTTCTTTCTTTCTTTCTTTCTTTCTTTCTTTCTTTCTTTCTTTCTTTCTTTCTTTCTTTCTTTCTTTCTTTCTTTCTTTCTCTTTCTTTCTTTCTTTCTTTCTTTCTTTCTTTCTTTCTTTCTTTCTTTCTTTCTTTCTTTCTTTCTTTCTTTCTTTCTTTCTTTCTTTCTTTCTTTCTTCTGTCTGTCTTTTTTTGTTTGTTTGTTTCTTTCTTTCTTCTTTATTCCTTCCTTCCTTGCATTTTTAAGCTTTCTAAATGTACTGTCGCAAGTATTTTAACTGTTCTTTAAAAGCACGTTTTGGGAAAATAAAAAAGTAATAACTACAACCCAAACTGTCACTAAAAAGGAAAAAAAAAATCGCAGGCAATGACAACATAGCACATGAAAACACTAATACCTTATAGAAGAAAATATAAGCATGAAGGATATTTTGTCGATCAGAAAATATTAGAAAGCGTCTGGATAAATAAAGTAGAAAGAAACATAAGTAAAGTTTGACACGCACACACACATACACACACCCATATGTATATTTGTTCAATCATATGTGCATCAGTTGATAGAATATAGCAGGTTACGTCCTAAAAGGAGATGAGATAAGGGATTAGAAAGATTGCCTGTGTTTTAGCAAACAACTATTGCTAATGAGGTATTACATTTGGGTGCCGGGAGAGCTCAGTGGCTAGAACGCTTGCCTCTTGTCTGGTGGTCATAGATCCGAATCTTCATTAAATGGTAGGGTCAAAAACCTTTCCAGTGGTCATTGGCCTATACAATATGAGACTAACCGATAAGACCATATGCCGTGTACCTTCGAAGTCTGAAAAAACTAAATTTTTATTATTACACGGACTTCCTGTATGTTAAACTAATGTGGCAAACAGTAAAATGGTATTTTAATAACGCCAATCTGAAGCAGAATTTCGGTAATTACCGTGATTGATACTGCTATCAAATGACAAAATATAACTATTACTATCATCATCGTGTAGGAGTCGCTGTAGCGTTGGCGGCTAGATGCCTGTCTGCGGATTGGAAGGCCGTGGGTTCGCGCCCTGACGGAGCTGGACGTTTTTTCAATTTAAGCATGATTCTTAGGTCAACCCAGTTTTGCCAGCCTTGAGTGGGCACCAGATGCAGTCCTGGGAAGTAAAGGCTGAGGGTGTGGTGTTGACCACATCACCACCAAGTGCTGAATGGTCTAAAATAAATTTAGGTCTAGCCCCATATGCCTAATACGCCTAAAGGTGTGGAAATCGGTCCTCTACTTTTACTTATCCTCATCGTGTACCAGGGCACATAGCGAAATAGTTTCATTTCTGTCCGCAGATCTCGGGCCTTAGAGCTCTGAATCAGCTCCATTGCCGATCTTCCTTTATACCATCTTCACAAATCATTCAAAATAATTTCTTTATTTCGGTTACTGTCTCTTCTACCACTAGTCATATCCGCTGTTACGATGTTCTCAAAAGCAGCTCTTTATATCACAAGACAAAATGCATTGCTTGTTTCCTATACATGTGTAAACGGTTCTATTTTCATTATCTTGTAAGTCGATGATTGTTATGTCCTCTTACTGTTGAAAGTAGAGACAAAACAAACATGACAAACAAAACCGACCTACCTGTTGAAAAAGTGGAATTAATGCTTGCCGGACTCTGGGAAACTCTGGCACGTTTACTGGGCTGAAAATGTAAAACCCCTTCACCTCCAGTTCCTTTCTGACAATTGTCATTGACCAGTTGGTGACTGAAATAATAATAATAATAATAATAATGTAATATATAATATATATATATATAATATATATATATATATATATAATAATATATATATATATAATATATATAATATATATATATTTAAAAATGATAATGATAATAATAATAATAACTTCAGCATATGAAATCGGGACTACGGTTAAATATCACAGCTAAAACGTTATTAAAAGTAACAACAAACTAAATGTCATGGGTGCCCCGTATTCAGTGCAATACAATATAATGCCTTTAGAAATTCACTATTCTTGATATTATCGTCAGGATTGTTCACAGTGACAAGATATTAAACTTTTAGGTACAACATTCTTGTAGTACATGCTAAATGTTGAACACCTTGTTTTGTTACTAGGGGGAGATAACACTCTCACCACTTAATCTGAGACATTCAGTCCGAGTTGAAATAAAGTCAAGGACCAACCTCACAGCGCCTGGGGCATTATCATATGTACTATGTCGTAATCTTCAGCAGCTAACCCAGAGTTTCAATTCCGATGGTGCCAGTCGGTATGTTTGTCTTGCTTTTGCCCTGTGTGTTGAGGGTTGGCCAGATCCCCTGGTCACGATCACTGCACTATTCTCAGACCGAAATGATCTGTTTGTGCTTTAGTAGTATTCACTCGCTACAAACAGAGCTTGACAACATTTACGAGTAGCTTGTTTTACATCAAAATATAATTCCATTGATGAGACCATTGAATAAAACATTGAATATTTAAAAGCATTATAAGCAAACTCTTTTTTTAATATAATATGATGCTAAAATAGCCTTAAATTATGCAATAATTTTTTTCGACGACTGACTGACGTTCAACCCAACTTTACACCGAGCTATAAACACCCGGTGACACAAACTGCCACCATTGGAATGAGGATCACCCACGGACTGGTCCCAGAAATCCTGTTTCAACCCTTAGATTGGGTTATATTAGGGCCCCAGCAAAAGCCAGGGTAGGAGCTTTAAATCAACAACAAAATTGAGTCCGACATTGGGACGCAAGGATGTGTGTACTTCTTTACCCCTACATGATAGGAAACCATCTTGTACATTAGTAACATTTGAAATCTGAATACAACATTAGCACCGACGCAACATGATTATTCTGATAAACAGAGAGGGGCCTACTTCTACGGAGGTTTCGCTGTCTTTATCCTGTGTACACACTCTGTGGACGCCCACCCATGTCATAACTCCAATGTGTCTGTCTCGTGTTTGGCATCTAAATCCTCTAACGAAGTTTCAGTGCATTTTCTTTTTCCTTCTCTTTTTCTTAAATCAATATTTGGTTGTGCAGCTAGGTGTTGCAGGTAATCTGTCGATCGGCAGCCGAGACAGGGCGCGCTCGGTTGCTTGATATGCTGTGATGTTATTCAGTTTGAAGATGTCAGTGACTCCTTCAATCAATTTTTTTCTCGGTCTTCCTTTGCCTCTTGGTGTTTCGGTTTTCAGGCTATACGCACTTACTGCTGGCATCGTTGGTTTCATTCTCATGAGACGACCATGCATTTCATTCTTTGTTTCATAATACATTTGACGATCGGTGTTGTTTCAACAGTTCTTGCGATCATGTCGTTTCTCACTCTATCTCTTCTGGTTTTATTCACATCCATTCTCACACATGTTATCTGGCTTTTGTGTGCAGCAGTTCTCTACTTAACAGTACATTTTCACCACAGTTTGGATTGTGCAACTAAATCACAGTACACGTGCTAACCCGAGAGATCCCATTCCTTCTTACGAAAACTTTCTTTCGCTGTCCGTGCGTACCTATACACTGTTTGCTATACCACAATGTCACCCTTGTCGACATGCTGCTGGCCTTTTTTCACCCTATCCACAGCTACAGAACATTTCAGCACAAATTCAAGGGAAGCCAGTCCTCCATGGTTATTGTCATTGAGTGTGTAGGTTTGGTCCCTTGTACACTCGACATCATTTTGCTGCAGAAAGCGAGCGTCGCTTGACGTGTCACTGTAATAACAATGTCTGCTGAAGTCGATTGACTCTGGCGATAGAACAAGGAATCATAATGCCCAACCTTAGTAGCTAGTGCACTGCGGGTTTCATCAACCCAGTTGCTACAGGTAAAGCACAATGTTCCTACGTAACAGTTTCGCTAATTGTTCCTTATCCTCTGGGTTACGAGAACCTGCCTGTGTTGAAACTGTGAAGGTTCAACACAAACAAACCAGTCTCAATAAAGATCGCAAATATAGGCATCAGCTACACAGCTGAAAATGTCTGAACGTGATCAAATTATCCTTTTCTTTTACAAGAAGCAAGCAGGCAACTGTGAAGACAAATGCATAGTTCACATTGTTGCGTCAGTGACCTTTGATGCTGTAATATCCAACATTAGGCTGTCCCCGCAGCCCCTAGCAGAAGTTTTAGCTTAAAACATCTCTGCTTTTATTTCAATGACTGCTGCTTTGCTCCATTTTATATACACCTGTAAACTTTATCGCTTACAGCTACCTCTACATCTAAAAAGTAGACTTAATTAGTCTTGTTTCACAATTAAGACCAAGTTGCAGTATGATGCCACATTGAAGATATGCTATTCAATGATTATTATTAATTTTTTTTTAAACTGATAAAATCCGCGGAATATACAGCAGTGGTGGGCAGTTCTGCCAACAATTCCATACTCTACAATAGACGACACGTGTGCGCGATTATTAGCTTTTCACATTTCACTCTGTATCCAGCGTTTTGCGAAGTGCGTCGTTTTGACCCGACTTTTGATTTCACTGCCATTTATGTCCTTACACCAATTGTAACTACCAAAAATAAGTATTGAAACTTATTGAATATATAACAGATACAATAAATGTGCAAAGTAAACATTTATCATTTATTCTAAAGACAAAAAAATATATGGTAAAACACACAGAATACAATCAATGCAGTTAAGTACCCCACATTTAACTAATATGCATCATAGAAACATCAAACTTAGTCAGCTTTTTTTACAAGTAGCTATGTATCCGATTGTTACCACCGTCAAATTTTTTTCCGCCTCTTACCCAAAATTTGGGGCCGCCATGTGCAGCTGCACATATCATACCCGTTAATTAAGGTCTTGCGCGCAATACTCGGATTAGAAAGTCTCTGAATATTTACCTTTTGGCTGAGGCTGGTTATATGCAGAAATCTGACCACAAAGTAGCACTCGTCCCTTGTCTCTCAGCTTGCCATACATTATATCACTGATGTAGCCTCCAACCTGCATCCACACAGTTGCACAATATTACAATGGACAAATTGTACCTAATTTAATCGTTGTTGTTTTTTTTTTTTTTTTTTTCAATCTTATTAGGCAACATAGAACCAAAGAAAACATCTCTAAATTAATCAGGGCAACATACAAGTCGATGAAATCAGAGTTCCGTATAATGAAATCCAAAGGATCCTTTTGAACTATGAACATAAGTGAGATAGCGATGGCATCTGTGACATTGAGTATATTTACTAACCAGGCTAAAGCCTGGGTTTTATAGATAAAACTAGCTACCCCCACAAATTCAATGAAAGCTTATGGAGAAACTCAGTATTTCGGACGCTGACATTCCCCTCTTGTTCCACATATGAAATAAGACGTGTGACCAATCAAACATGTTTGGCAAAGATTAACATTATTTAGGTGTAAAGATTCAAAGTGGGAGCACAAAGTTAAAGATACTGATAATAAAGGAACGAAATAACGAAATCTACATTTGTTGCAATCACATTTCAAACAAGCAGAATGAATCATACATCAATTAATGTTGATACAAAATGGAGTTTCTGAATCTGGAGAAGTATTTCTCTGCAACAGACCTTCTCGGATGAAATGTATTTTGCAGGGAAGTATGATATGATCACTAATGTATCTGATGTGTAACTGACTGACTTTTTCTACCCCTCCAGGACATCACATAAGCGATAAACACCCGATGACACAAAGTGCCACCATGTGGATGAGGATCGCCGTGGAGAAATCCCAGAAACCGCATTCAGACAATTGGCCATATTTATGGCCTGCCTATATTGCGGCCCCTGGAAAAAGCCAGGGTGGGGCTTCAAATAACAAAAAATTTCATCCTAAAAAGGACGAAACTGGATCTATACTTATCTGACTTGTAACTTGAATCTTGAGTATGTAAAACAACTGACCAATAATAGGAAATGCTACACGAGTCATATTTAGATAACGATTGTGTGCAACCGCTAAAGTTAACATACATATTGGAAAAACCAGGTTTACTGTGTTGAATGTTGAATTAAGAATCGACATCACAGCACTCGAGACATTCCCATAAGCGCCCCATCTTCAGCAGCAAGCGAAGAGTTCTAATTCCGATGGCACCAGTAACTGTCAAATTGTTTATCCGCCTCGCCTTTTACTTAAGTACTGAGCGTCGGTAACTGCTTGCAGTGCCATTCTCCTTAAACATAAATTATGTGTTTATGCCTCCGCACTGTTGATTCGCTTCCAAATGACTCTCACAACTTCTAGCTTGTCATACATCACTTCACAATAAAATTGTGCAGAACTGGCCAGTATGTCTGCCTGCTCGTTTTCCAACAAACCGGCATAACTTGGGGAAAATATCCAAAGGACGCCAACTAACCGGGACCTCTGAAGCGATGCTTGCCACTCTGTACAGAGCTTGCCTGTCTCTAATTTTCTCAACATGCTCTACGAGTCAGATACAATTACGACATGTATGTACAGCTGATTCTCAAGCCAGCAAAAGGCAGCAGTGACTGCCTCCACCTCCATTCTAAAACTGAATGTTATAATATCCTATGCTAGGTTTTGCTGCACTATGCGACTTCCTTTCGCTTTTGCTATGAACCCCCCCCCCCTTTCTCCCTCTCTCTTTGCACTTCGTCTGTCCTATGTTACTCTTACTAAAATCTTGTTAGATGTTCACTATTTTCCTACACGGGTGTATGTTTAAATGTGTATCATGGGAACTCACACTGTCAAAGAAAATATCGACACCATTTGGAGCAATGCTATCCAACGCTGCAGAGATGTTCTCCTCTTTGTAGTTAATGGCTTGATCAAATCCAATCTCTTTAATGTAGCGACACTTCTCTTCTGAACCGACCAACCCTACCACCTTGAGGCCCTGAAATAAATTCAAGATTGGATTATCTTATCATTTTACAGGAGGTTAAAGAAACTCTCAAATACTGACGAAATTATCTCTTATATACTGGATTTTAAAAAATGTGTAATTCGACGGCATTCCGGCTATTTGTGTCCATTACCAATAGTGTATCACATGGATTTTTCAGATATATATATATATATATATATACATATATATATATATATATATATATATATATATATATATATATATATATATATATATATATATATATATATATATATATATTCACACGAAAACATACACACATCAATTTTCCTTAAAAGTACGCTCATATGTCTGTCTGTCTGTCTGTCTGTCTGTCTGTCTGTCTGTCTGTCTGTCTGTCTGTCTGTCTGTCTGTCTGTCTGTCTGTCTGTCTGTCTGTCTGTCTGTCTGTCTGTCTGTCTGTCTGTCTGTCTGTCTGCCTGTCTGTCTGCCTGCCTGCCTGCCTGTCTGCCTGTCTGCCTGTCTGCCTGCCTGCCTGTCTGTCTGCCTGCCTGCGTGCGTGTGTGCGTGCGTGTGTGCGTGTGTGTTTGTGTGTGTGTGTATGTTTGTATGCATGTATGTTTGTATGTAGGTATGTATGTATGTATGTATGTATGTATGTATGTATGTATGTATGTATGTGTATGTATGTATGTATGTATGTATGTATGTATGTATGTATGTATGTATGTATGTATGTATGTATGTATGTATGTATGTATGTATGTATGTATGTATGTATGTATGTATGTATGTATGTATGTATGTATGTATGTATGTATGTATGTATGTATGTATGTATGTATGTATGTATGTATGTATGTATGTATGTATGTATGTATGTATGTATGTATGTATGTATGTATGTATGTATGTATGTATGTATGTATGTATGTATGTATGTATGTATGTATGTATGTATGTATGTATGTATGTATGTATGTATGTATGTATGTATGTATGTATGTATGTATGTATGTATGTATGTATGTATGTATGTATGTATGTATGTATGTATGTATGTATGTATGTATGTATGTATGTATGTATGTATGTATGTATGTATGTATGTATGTATGTATGTATGTATGTATGTATGTATGTATGTATGTATGTATGTATGTATGTATGTATGTATGTATGTATGTATGTATGTATGTATGTATGTATGTATGTATGTATGTATGTATGTATGTATGTATGTATGTATGTATGTATGTATGTATGTATGTATGAATGTATGTTTGTATGTATGTTTGTATGTATGTGTGTATGTGTGTTTATGTATGCATGCATGTATGTATGTATGTATTATGTACGTGAATACGTGCGTGCTTATTTATGCATCTACATATGTGTGTGAGTAGATATGCTGGTAGATTGGGTGGGAAAGTTGGCTCAAATTACCTTCAACTTGGCAAGCTGGCCGACAACACTACCCACAGCACCAGAAGCAGCACTGACCACAATCACCTCACCTTCCTTTGGATCACACCTCTCCATAAAGCTCATGTAAGCAGTCACACTTAAAGATAGAAAAACAAAAGATAAATTGTGTCAACAGTTACCTAATAATGGATTGCAACACTAAGCACTTCACGAAAGCTGCTCTAAGCTTCATCTTTGTGCCAGGTCATGCGGGTGTTCAGTCTTGCTGACACTGCGGTTGCTATGGCTGGTCCAGTACTTGACAGAAATGATGGTGTTATCCATGCCATGCGCTGCACTTACTGTACCGAAAGGCACGCTAAAGGACATGAATCCGTATCCCAGTCTAGACTGATGGACATGCGTGTGCAGCCTGGAGCTGCATGAAATGAATATTTCACTAAGGGGACAAATAGTTTCATTAGGCAAAACAGAAAAGGCATCATCAGTTGTTTTACACTTTCGGAGCTTTTGGGGGTAGATCGGAGCACCTTTCCGGAGCGCTGTGATGATAATCCTTTCTAATCACTAACAGTTACCTAATAAATACAATCAAATGTATTCGCATAATTGTTTGATACTTGATGGGTTACCTTCACTCCTCAAGCAAAGTAAAGGACCCTTTTCTACGAGTTCAGGCGCATTGGGCATATTGTTCTAGACCTATATTTTATAGATCAGTCTGCGCTCGTGGGTGATGTGGTTAGCATCACGCCGACCGCCTTTACTTTCCAGGACTATACCTGGTACCCACTCGAGGCTAGGTCGACCTGAAAGCAAAGGTAAACTCTGATTAAAAGACTGGCTTCGCCAGGACCCGAATCCCCATCTCCCCCCTTCCTCCCCCCCCCCCCCCATATATATATATATATATATATATATATATATATATATATATATATATACACACACACACACACACACACATACATTTGCTGAAAACCTCGGTAATGGATACGGCACAATTGTTATACCTGGACTGTTACAGAATAAATATAAAATGAATTAACAGAATGAATGTTGAAAACCCACAAAACATCACTGTTTATGACCATCAGCTGTTTGTCGTTAATGACTTTGAGTACCTAGGCTCTCGAATCTCAACGATTAATCCCTAGATGCAGAGATGAGTAGACGTATAGGAAAGGCCTCTACAATGTTTTTAAATCTCACTACGAGAGTCAGGTCAAATTAAAGGCTGACTGATAATACCAAAAGGAAAGTTTATGAGTCTTGCGTCTTGTACGGCCGTGAATAATGGACTCTATATGCTCCTCAAGAAAAGAGACTACCTTCCACATGAGCTGTATGAAGCGCATCATTGATGTATAATTGCTAGACTTTGTCTCCAACCATTATGTACCCACGAGAGCAAAAATACCAGCATTGTACTATCTAGTGAAGCAAGACGTCTGCACTGGCTGAGAAATGTCTCCTGCATAGAGGATGGACGTATTCCAAAGGACCTCCTGTATGGTGAACTGGAAACTGGGAATAGACCTACAGCATTGGCTCTAAAACTTCCTAATGCCGCGACCCTTTAATACAGTTCCTTATGCTGTGGCAACCTCCAAACATACAATTATTTTCGTTGCTTGTTTTCCGATGGTCTTAGGCGACCCCTGTGAAAGGACCATTAGACCCCCCAAAAAAAAGGGTCGCGACAAATCATGGTTGAGAACCTCTGATCTACCGGAAGGCCAAAGCTACCTTATAAAGACATGCAAACATGACCTGATAAATATCAACATAGGCACAGAGACTTGGGAAAGATCAGCTGCAGATCGACCACTATGACGATAAATAGTGAAAGACAGATTGTCGCATTTTGAAAGAACTCAAAGGCAGCAGCCAGCTACAGAGAGGAAACTCTGGAGAGTAAATCAGCCTCATAGCGAGGGAGTATGTACTTTTTGTGTGTATCCTGTGTGGCAGAGACTGTCACTCCCACATCGGACTTTACAGTCACGGCAGATGTTGTTCCCAAAGCCAGCGGCACATCTCCATAGCCCATTGGGACTTACGAATGCCGTTATTGTTATTATTATAATAATTAATATTATTTTTATAACAGCAGCCTCGCTTGTTAAATTTATTATTGGAGAATAATGGAAGGTAAACACGTCTGACTTGTTTCTATGAAATAACAAGCTGCATATATCGTTTTCTCTCTCCAGCCGCCCCTCCCCCAATCGCTTTTTTTTTCCTACATATATCTTGTTATTGTTCTCCTTTTTTTTTTTTTTCTTTGTATTTTACATTTTATTTTTATGTTTTATGTTTTTTTTAACTGGAAACTGAAATAGTCTGTGACTTACCCAGGCATTCCAATGGCACCAATCCACAGAGATGGAGAGAGACCTGTTACTTCTTCGATTTTTTCTACCTTGATACCAAATCGTAGTGGTCTGTTGACATTGATAACTGACTGTGACCTCCATCCAGCATGAGCACATACTAAGTCATCTTTCTCAAATCCTGGAGCTTTGCTCTCAATGATCCTATAGAAGATATTTAATGTATATTTATTCCCAGACTTGGGCTGTGAAAACCCTTTCACTCTTTCTCTCTCTCTCTCTCTCTCTCTCTCTCGCTCTCTCTCTCTCTCTCTCTCTCTCTCTCTCTCTCTCTGTGTGTATATCTCTCTCGCTGTCTCTCTCTCTCTATCTCTCTCTCGATCTCTCTTCCTGTGTTTTTGTGTCTGAGTGTGTGTGTGTGTGTGTGTGTTTAATATATGACATATAATATATACAGCTTCAAGAGAACTGACCTTGCAACTTGTTCCCCTGGGAGTCCATCTTGAACTGGAAACAGCCTAAACAACAACAAAGACATACATTGAGAAACGTAATGTGCTGAGCTGTTATGTGTAAACTTACGGATAAATATAGTTGTCTTCCATGCAGACATATCCTTTCTATATATAGTTAACATTAAAAACGTGACAAGTTCAAAGTCGTTTTGAATGAATCAGAGGAACAAGGCTAAGGGCAATATGGCCCTGAGGAAGCTTGAAACCCCTAGGAAGTGTGCAAATTCATGATTCACGAAATAAAAGGAGAAAAATTATCGAAGTTGAACTAATCGATGATTCAGATGAGTATAACCTTCATACCACAGTTGGGAGTTGATTTCATTCAGTTCTGCTGAACTGGTTGTTGCATTGATCACTGACCATGTTTGTGGTCTAGCGTCTCTAGTTGTACTCCTTTCTTTAAGTCAACAATGTTCTCATTTACCTGCCACTGCGAAATGTATTTATTCTGAGGAATTCAAATGGGTATAAACAGTAACCTGTGGTAATGTGAGGTATTATGTATTATTTATTTTCAGCAAGCGAGTATTTTTAATCAGCTTCAGACGTTGTTATGTTGCCCGATGTCTTATCGGTTGTTGCTCAGTATTTGTTTCCAAACTGAGTAGCTCCACGCTTGGGGAGGTTCTGCAGTCACCGTATTGTTTGACTACACTACTGAACTATGTCAACTTGCGTGTAGGAAACATACGCAGAGAGCAGAGATGTGTGCAGTTGTGACGCGCCGTAGTCAGTTTCACTTGTAAAATTGAGAGATCTATGTTGCGTAATCGCATCAAGGACTAAGTATTTTCCATCGAGCCTTGTCAGCCTGCATATTGTCATATGGGATTCAAGGTATAGTGCGTTCTAGTGCCCAACATTACAAATCTGTAACTCAGTATGGGTTCTGTGTAAGCTGATGCAATTTAACATGTAGCCTGTTAATAGCTGCGTCAGTGTAAAATTATTTTTTTTTTTTAATGTAAACAAACATCTAGTTTTCATTTTGCCTTATTTGTGGTATATGAGAAAAACAGACTCCCATTCAAAGCAAACAGTCAGCATGCTTACAGTAACTTGAGTTAATTAAATAAGGGGAAACTATCCAAAAGATAAAATTGCACGCGTTTCATTGGCGTTTTGCTCTCAGATGGTCATCAACATCATTAGTCTTTCCTGAATGGCGGATTTTTCATTTAGTTGGGAATAGGCTGTCAATATAACCACACATCGCGACACATGTGAACTGATTTTCAGTCTCCACATGTGTGTTAATTACTGTATATGACTGCATAAATTATTAGCCCAACAAAGATCAAAGGAAATCGCCGCTTTAAGAAGACATCTGCATCTGTGCAATTGTAAGTTACAGAATTGTAAGGATTTATGGAATCTAAGTTATCGAGATGCTTGCTAAAATGTGAGGGCATGAGTTTTGAAACGCACTATAATAATGGCGACGGTCCTTTGTATTAAAGTTTGTACAGACTCCTGTTCGTATTGTCAGTCGCTAGCCTCCAGTAGGAACTCAGTCGTGGTCGTCTTCTGGACTCCTGTACATTTGTATTAAGTGTAATCACATTGTCGTCCTCTTGTTAACTCTTGTACGTGTGTATGAAGTGTATTCATACCTGATATACTTTACCAAAAATGCAGTACCCCTACTGTATATATACGGCAAGAATGTAATTATCTTAGCTATAATCAAACGTAACTATACTGAATAATAATATAAAAACGTTTAAAGTAAAGCAACCTTTCCCTCGCCTTCGGGCGTATTGGCTAAATATGGATAGGCCTAACATTTTTAGAAAAAATCGGTAATAGGTGGGTAATGTGGCCAACATCACACCGAACACCTTTGCTTCCCAGGACTTTACCCACTACTCGTTTAGGGCTGGGTCGATCTGGGAATCAGTCTTTTTTTTTTAAACAATCCTGGTCTAGGCTACACCACAGCGGCTTCCATAATTTAAAAAAAAAAAAATTATATTAAAATAAAAATACCTGACTAAAAATAATTCCTTTACTCCAATGCATATAACCAAAACACAGACAGTCACATTAAGCTAAAGATACACATTTTTAGTGATTTCTAATCAAGCAAATAAAGCAAATTTTGCAACATTCAGTGTTGTACTCACTATTTAAACCTCAAGAAGTCAATAAACATCGATTACATGTTTACATGCTTATAAAATAGGCACAGAATGTTCAAAATGTAGCAACTGTGATGATTGACATCACAATCTAAATGATTGTATGAGGCCTACCTGTAGTATGGGTCCAAGCTCAAATACAGGGCTTCAATGAGAATCTCTGGTATGGAGAGAGAAAAAAAATGTATCAATGTCAATCCTGAAGGGCCATGTTTATACAGAAAGTCATTTGTGTGGCTACTTTCATTTGTCGCTTTTGTCTTATATAGGGCAAATAACAGGAAACACAGCTTCGTTGTCTGGGATATAGACAGACAGGGGGCTTCATATTAACTCATTGTCAATAAGAATAGATGATCAGCTTGTATTTTTTTTTTTTTTTTTTAATATAATTTAAATAACAATCGCCTGTATAAACCAAAAATAAATTAAGCAGTAAGTAAAGTACGAATGGGCGTCTTCGTGGCGAAGTGGTCAAGCCGTTTGCCTCACGTAATGAAGATTGTAGGTTCGTTTCATGGAGGCGCCGTTTAGTTCGCGAGTGCAATTTTATCCAGTCGCCGTAGCGTAGCGGCTAGACACTTGCGTGCAGATCGGAAGGTCGTGGGTTCACTCCCTGGCAGAGCCGGACTTTATTTCAAAAATGACCTTACTCCCAGGTCGACCCAGCCATGAGTGAGTAACGGGTGCAGTCCCGCGAAGTAAAGGCGGCCGAGCCCTTTATGTCCTATACGCCTAAAGGCTGGCCTAATCTTCATCTTTATGCCACGCCATGGTCATGCGGGTGTTCGTGGCAACGAGCGTGCAGATTACACTGCAGACACTACGGTTGCTATGGCTGGTCCGATACTGTACAGACGCCATATTATCAATGCCATGTGCAGCACTTACTGCGACGATGAATACGACAAAAGGCAGGACTTCGTATCTCTGTCTATGCTGATGGATATAGTGATACAGCCTGGAGCTGTAAGAATTAAACATTTCACAAAGAGAGCAAGACGTTTGATTAATCTATACATAACAGGGGTTTTGAACCCCGTTGCCTTGGCGAAAATGGGCATCAGCACTACAAAAACACATCCAACATCTACTCACCGCCCTCCTTTAGAGGTGGCAACACTTCCTCTGTTAGAACAAAGTCATCCAGTGTGGGTTCTCCATTATATGGACGCTTAACAGACCAAACTTTAGCCGTTGTCATGGTTCCCGAATGACGATGGATGTAGTCTGTCAGTGGAAAATATGGAAGCAAATTATACAAGATAATTAGTTAATATAAAGAAATCCTAACTGCACATCGTTCATATGCGCTATGATCCTATCTTCAGTATATCCCTCAACGTGTGGCGACTAATAACACCAGATATGTGCTGGCTTACTATTCTTTTTTGGCTACCTATATAGTGTTTATGTTTGGCGACACCTCTTTTTAGCTGAAGTTCTTATGGTGTTTTGAGTGTTGCCGATTCAACGTCGTCTTTTGAGCCGTCTTCTCGACCTGCTTCCTTAAAAGCATTGAAAATGTCTGCTCGGACTAATTCTTTTCCTACACCTACCATGGCTCTCCCTGCAAGCCAGTCCGCTTGTTCATTTTATTTGACTTCAGAGTGTCCAGGCACGAAAAGGAAACTACTTATTTCAGACGAGTTTTTTTCTCAGTGACTCCAACCCTTTTCTTCTTAAGCATGCACATGAAATCATTTAGGAAGCACGCATGGGGAAAATGTTTTGCCTCTCTTCATCATTGCTTTTGATACCGCCATCACCTCCATAGTCAGACTTCTTATAGTGGAGGCAACAGCCCCGTATCTTCTTTTACAGTTTTTCCTTAAACCAGAAATACAGCGAGTCTAAAAGGCAGGTGGAGATAGAATTAACAACTCTTACGCGAGTGCGACAATACAAATAGTTATGTGTACATCTACATACAAGCATTACTTTGTGTGTAGGTGCCACTATGCTTAAAGTAAAGCATTAGGAGTTTTCTCAGAGCACTAAAAACGTTTTAGGTATGAATGTTTAGTAGGCCATCAGATGGACACTGTTCGATGCCTTCATGCGTATTGGGCATATAGGGTTAGACGTATATTTTATAGATCAGTCGCACTTGGTAGGTGTTGTAGTAATGATCATCACGCCGACCGCCTTTGCTTCAAAAGACTGTACGTGGTACCAATTTAAGGTTGGTTCGACCCGGAAGCCAATTTCGTTTGTGATTAAAAAAAAGTAGTATGTTTAGTACACTAAACTAATACAGTTTTTTTTTCATCAAGGCCTGCATATGCAGAAAAAGCAAGGAATTATAATCCGTACACAATTTACCCGCGCTTCGTAGTGCCTGGGTTCCGGGTTCGATCCCAGCTGCGGTTTAGACAGTGGTACCAAGAGCTGACCGTTCATGTAGCAATGGCAAACTACTGAACATAAGATTTGCCTAGATAAACCACAACAGCCAAGAAATGCTGGGGTTGGATCTGCAACGTCCTGTAAAGGATACGCAACTAACTTAACACAGTTCAGCAGATCTGTTAAAAACGGGTGTGCATATAAAACGTAAGTATAGTATTACCAATGTCCGGATGTTTACCCTAGGGCTGTTGCTATAAGGGGGAAAAGATAGAAAACGTAAATATATTTATATTTTTAGACTATTTATGTTTTAATGACAATGTAGTGTCCACTATTCAGTCTTATGATTGAACATTGTTTGAATAATTGCCTGTTCAACAACAATTTTACAACAAATGAACAGTGCATGTGATATTTTTTGAAGAATGTCATGCATCGTATTACTATTGAGAAACAAAAAAAGCTTGAATGTTTTGTGTAGTGAGCCTTTTCTTTGCTAAGTGAATGTACTATCTAACAGAAACAATTGGAATGTTAAATGTTGAATTAGGAATCGACAGCACAGCACTCGGGACACTCCCATAAGTGCTCAGTCCCCATCTTCAGCAGCCAGCGAAGAGTTTCATTTCTGATGGTAACAGTAAACGTCTGATTGTATATCCGTCTCATCCTTCCCCTGAGTGTTTAGAATCAGCCAGATCCCCTGGTAACTCCTCGCAGCGTCATTCTTCTTAGACCTTAATGATCTTTCTGCGCCTCTGCACTGTTCAGTAACTGATGTTATCTCAGTAAAGATAGTAACGCGTGTATACAAACTGCTGAGCAGGTCAATGAATCAATCAGATGCCGTCTCCTCAATTACCGTTGGTTACAATGGATCTCTAACACGCTCTGTCTCTTGTCTTGGTTGTACTCCTCCTCAGGCTTCGTTCATCTCTTGAGGTTGTCCTCCCTCTTTTAACGTTCTCTACTTCTTGCTCTGATCCCTCGATCTTAAATGAGTACCAGGTAAAGTCCTAAGAAGTAAAGGCGGCGGGTGTGATGTTGACTACGTTACCTATCGAGCTGGTCGATACAAATATGAGTCTACTTTGTTTTACTTACATTATTATTATGTGAAAACACTCATCAGCCGAAATTAAAACTGCAAACATATATCTTTATATGCAGCAGACTGCTACAACTAAAAATTTACCTGGTCAGAAATACCTGGAATATTTTATAGTTGCTCAGTTCCGGATAGGGACCACAAATGCATTGTCACTGTTCTAACTTTCACGTCCTGTTAATCTCTCAAGTAACAGAATGCTACTATTTACATCCGTAATGTGCTAGATTATCTTCCCAATGTGGCAGTGTATCTAGTGCCTTTTAGAGTTGCCATCACATCCTGGTTTATACTAGGCTCCCAGTTTGACCCAGACTAACGTCGGTACAGGGAAGTGTCCCACGAAGTCAATACGGATGTATACCCCAAACCTTACGCCGGTTTATTTCAAAATCTGAAGGTAAGACACTTATTGAGCTTCGTGAAATGCTCAGGAAGATAGAGATGGGCTGGATCAGACGACAGTGGTTTGAGTCTCTGAAGTGGTCAGGGCTGACACATATCAATTTCAATATTTATTTAGACAACGGATCAACATCATGGCATAAGGGTTGTAAACAACAAGTGCTCCGTTCTACTTCTAACTCAAACCTGAGTCCGAAGAATCTCAGCGCAGTGAACGAACTCCGTAGCACCTGCGAGGATCCTGAAATACTTTGAGTAGATTTTTTACTCCAAATTTTTGCCGGGCAGCGTCGTTAGGCTACTTTTTTCGATTTCCATTCACACATGTGCATCGAGATCTCTGCCAGGCAGCTGGTATTGATTGATTGCTTTCAAGATGTCCGGCTCTTAGACGAAGAAATAGGTTCCGTACTCAGAAACTTCATTTGTGCATCCGTCAGTCGGATATATGGTGATATTATCAAAGTTCAGTGTTCTTTAGAATAAAGTTCACCTAGCCAATTTTTTAAAGAAAAGCGAAGGCTAATCCGAAGATGCGTGCAGTAATTAAATAAAGATTATAATATGAAAGATGGATAAATGGTAATGATAAATAACATGTCCTCCCAAATGTAACATCAAAGAAGATGAGACAAGAAAAACAGCTCAACTTGTTCATCGACTTGAATATCATGATAACAGCAGCTAAAAAAAGGCATAACAGAAGGAAATAGATGAGACAAGTGTGAAACAACTCAACTTGTCATGAATCGAAGGAGATTGAATGAGACATGATAACAGTTCAGATTTTAATGTCTGAAAAGCAGCCTGAAAAAGGCATAACAGAAGGAGATAAATGAGACAATTGTGAAACAACTCAACTTGTTCATCGACTTGGTTGTCATGATAACGGCAGCGGTAAAGGCATTACAGAAGGAGATAGATGAGACAAGAGTGAAACAACTCAACTTGTTCACCGATTTGAATGTCATGATAACAGCAGCTGAAAGAGGCATTATAGAAAGACGTAAATACAAAACTGTCCAATCAAACCCAGAATCACACAGCATGAAGAACATTGTAAGCTACACATCTATGCCAACAAATGTGAAATGACAGAGTTTTTAATAGCAATGTAGAGACAACCCTGGCACAATGTGGGGAATTACGTGTAATCGCCAGATTAGTGAGAAGTCGTATGGAAGCAGCAGGTGTGTGCTTTTATATAATAATACGGAGAAACTCATAGGCAGAGAAAAGAAATGCACTGCAGGTGTGAGAAAAAAATTTACAGAAAAAAAAAAAAAAAAAAAAACCACACACACAGATTTCCCCGAACGTAATTGGCCAAATTCGCATTTTAAACTCCTTATATGAAGGAAAAGAGGGAGCAGGGGTGGGAAAGGGGAGCATGTCGGGTTGACCAGCAATGTGAAGCTTTGAGAGCGAAAGAGGCAGATAAGATCGTGTAAAAAATTCTGGTTAATAATAGGAAAATATTGATTACTGAAAAAAATTAAAATCATTCACTTAAAAGATATTATTAAGAAAGTTGAAAATTATATACTAAACGGCGATAAACATGTATATATTATGTTTATGCTATGTACTTGCTTTTGTTTCATTCATTGAATGTGATCTATAATAATGGATGCATTCCTAAATCCATTTTTATGGCACTTCTAAAGAAAACACGTGACTGAGAATGATAATATCAGCAAACAAACAGACCTACGAGTTGTATGACTAAGCTATTACTGAAAATAACTATGAGGACTGTAAGAAACAAAAGTAAGCCAGAAAGTCGTGACTAAAAAGTTGGGATTTGTAGAGGGAAAGGGTACAATTATTGTCATATTCCTTCTCATGCTACTTAAAAATAACTGTAGTAATAAGACAAGCCTGTAAAGATAGGAAGATGATCTCTCACGCAAATAGGTAAGTATCTTGATGATGATGAAGACCCCCTCCCCTTCACTCCTTCTCTCTCAACTGCCTATTGTGGAGCTGAAAATAAAATGGTGATATATCTCTGTGCAGTCGGCTCTGTGGCTAAGTCGATGCGAACGCTTCGTAATGCCGGGATGCCGGGTTCGATCCCAGCTGCAGGCCATGCGCCTTGCGTTGGTTGCGACAGTGGTATCAAGAAAGCTGACCGTCCAAAACGCAATGGCAAACTACTGGACGTAAATTTGCCTAGAAAAACTACACAACAGCCAGGGGCTGTTTCTCATTCACATGTGTAATGGCGTTACATTAAACAAAAACAGAGATCGCTGAGTTGCACCTATCTAGCTCTCTTTAAATTCCGTTTTTTTTAATTGACGCTGTGTATGTGAAGGTTTTCCTGTAAATAATAC